GCTAGGAATATAGGCATGAGCCACTGGTACTCGGCTCACTTGGCCATCTTTATTTCTGTAAGTGACTCATTCATTTTCTGTCATCATTTTTCTTTTTCAATGCTTTTCTTTACTTGTCCCAGTATTCATATATTGCAAACATGATGTAAAAATGATCAAGACTCTGATGGATTCAAAAATGTTTTCTTCCAATCTCTAGCTTCTGTTTGCAGCTTGTTCCCATGTTTCCTCATATAGCAGCTCTTCATTTCAGGTGACCTTCCGGCTGCTTTTCTCATCTGAGATTGGCAAGCTTTACTTCTGTTTCCACTGTGGAAAGAAGGGTCAGAAGAAGTGCAGGAATTTGATCTGAAATTCAAACTTGACATCTAGAGCTATGTGTGGTTGCACCCCTATGTAATAAGTTATGCCTATGGTAAGCTGCAGGTCAGCAATAAGTACCTTTCACACCTGTCTCCTTCCAGACATAGAGGGAATGACATACATAGCAAAATGGCCCCCTTTATATTTTCATAGGACAAACCACATAAGGCTAGGTAGTATATAAGGAAGGTGGTGACACTGGGCTTGCTGGAAAGAACACTCTAATGATGGTCAGGAAATTTGGGGGCCAGGGACACCACTAACCCTAATTGTGACAGAGAAGCAGACTGTTCCCTGGCAACTCCTCTAGTACAAATAACAGGTCTCAGCTGCTGGTAGGATTGTGGGGGAAGAGTGAGCCCTTTGATTTTATCTGAGACTCAATGAAAGGGGGAGCGTGCTGTAATTTTAACAACCATTTTGACAGCCCACAATCCTCCTTGTCCCAGGTTCTCAATCCTAGCAGGTACTGCCAGTGCCAACTTGATTTTGATGTATGTACTTCATAAAGGATTAACATCCAAAATATAAGAAACTCACACAAGTGGGCAACAATAGGCAGCCTACAATTAAACCAATTTCCTAATGGACAAAGGCCCTGAGTAGATATGTTTTAAAAAGAAGACATAGATGGGCACCAGAGGAACATGATTGTAATACTGGCTACTCAGCAAGCTGAGATCTAAGGATTGTATTTCAAAGGCAGCCCAAACAGGAAAGTCTATGAGACCCTTACTTCCTACCAGCTAGCAAAAAGCTTGAAGTGGCACTGTAGCTCAAGTGATAGAGTGCTAGCCTTGAGCAAAGAAGCTAGAGGAAACTTCCCAGGCCCTGAGTTCAAGCCCCTAAACCAACCAACACACACACACACACACACACACACACACACACACACACACACACAGATACGAATGACAGCAGGTATAGGGAAAAGTGATCAACATTAACCATCAGGGATATGCAAATCAAAATCACCATGAGATGTGATCTCACATCTGGTAAGATGGCTATTTTCAAAAACAAGCGATAAGAATTAGTAAACATATTGAGGAAAATTAACCCTTTTGCACTGATGGTGGAAGTGTGAATTGTTATAGCCACCAAAGAAAACAGGATACATGTTCTTCAAAAAACTGAAATTGGAGCTATCATAGAACTTAGCAACCTTTGCTCTACATATGTACACATAGGAAATGAGACAGATATGGAAGTTCTCAAGTGTCAATCAATGAATTTTTTAAATGTACCTTCATTACACACACACACACACACACACACACACACACACAAAATACACGCAAACTGGAGCATTATTCAGTGATGAAAGAGAAAGGAGTCCTGTTATATTTGTGATAACATAGATGACATCATGCTGAATGCAATGAACCAGAAGCTTAAACGTTATCAAAATTCTATGTGAAATGTAAAACAGTCCCAGTCAGAGGACAGTGCACAACTGTGGTTGTGAGCAAGGAAGGCATATGGGGAGATGCAAGGGAAGGGCACAAACTTGTGTTCATGCAATGAATATATCATGAGAATTTATTTTTAAAAAATATTTTTATTATCTTTAAGTAGTTGTACAAAGGAGTTAACAATCACTGAAGCAGTTTGTGAATGAAGTGTATCTTAACCAATGTCACACACTTTTTAAATTGTCTGTCCTGGGGCTTGAACTCTGGACCTGGGCTCTATCCTTGAGCTTCTTTTGTTCAAGGCTAGTACTCTACCACTCCAGCTCCAGTGCCACTTCTGGCTTTTTCTAATAGGAGGTAAGAGTCTCACAGACTTTCCTTCCTGGACAGGTTTCAAACTACAATCCTCAGATCTCAGACTTCTGAAGATTACAGGTGTGAGCCACTGGCACCCATCTAACTTCACCCCTTTCAATATTCTCATCCACCCCTCCCAACCCATCCCAAAACATGAGAATTTAATGTACTTTATGATGTCTATGCTTTATATAAAATTTAGATGCATATTATGTGTTTTGAGTACTAAATGGAGCCTATGTGAATTATGTATTGAATTTTAAGCATTAAATGATATACAAAATATGTACATATGTATTTCTCAAGAATACTTCGTTGTACACATGAAATTTGCACAGGATCGTAGGCATTTTCACCACAAAGGAAAAACATTGTCTCTGTAAAGCACAGGATATTTAGCAAGCCTTTCACAATACATAATGTATAGATTCAGCATACTCATGTAGAGTATGATAAAATTTTTATTTTTCAATTATTGCGCCAGCAGGGCTTGTGAGTGGGACACTACATAGTTGGGAGAGAATGCCTTGTTGAAAGCCTCGGCAAAGTACTCCATAAGAGTTCTGTCCCCAAGCAAGAGGTGACCCTTGCACTAAGTCAGGCACAGGATGCCCTGCTTGGGAACAAACTGTTCGTGACAAGCACCCAGTGAATCCTTCACCTGTGGGGATACAGAGGAAAGCATCTTCTGCAAGGAAGCCTGTGGCAGGAGGAGGCAGGACTTTTTTTTTATCAAAGCCATTCAGGATTGAGGTGAGTATCAGTATCAAGAGGTCAGATCAGCAGCAGAACTATGCCTTTCAAGAGAGGCTTTGTGGTATTAGGTGTGGGGCCCCATGGCCTGTGGTTGGCAGTAGGGCAGATAACTCTGGCTTGGAAGTCATTAGGGTCAGAGAGGAGAAAGCTGGATAGGATGGGTCTGTGCAAGGGGATGGGAGCAGAGATTAAGGCTCCATATGGGTCAGTCTGGCTATAAATCCCATCTTTGCCACTGGCTTTCAAGTGTGGCCACTGAATTGTGCTTATATTCATGCATCAGGTTTTCACCAAATCATTTCTTCCTTCAACAAATATCCACATACTAAACACACATTCATATACACACACTTACCCCTACCCCCAAATGCATCTATTTACTCAAGCATATGCAAACATAGGCACACAAGGATCCTCAAATCACCCTCTCTACCCTCTAGGACAGAACAGCCCCAGGACCTGGAACTCTGGTCTTCTTTAGGCAGAGCTAAGCCCTAGGAGGAGAGGCCCCAGTCACTTTTGGAGAAGCAGTAACAGGAGTAAGTTCCCCACTGAGTTATTGCCCAGCTCAGGAGAACAGAGGTCTTGTGGGAACACAGGTGAGACCTGGGCCATGAAAAAATCTGCAAAGATACCAGGTTGAAAGCAACTGAACACACTGGAACAAACAGTTTGCCTGCTCTGTATTCCTGGACGCCACCCTAAGTATTCTGCAGGCATATAGGCAGAGCACTTAGGGCTTGATTTGCTGCTGCCCGCCAGAACCCCACCTGCATCTCATCTCTACTGGCCTCTCCCCAAGCAAAGGACAATGAATTCCCACAGCTGGCCATGCAAGCATTTGTTATGACATGATGTGTTTTCAAAGGGAAGGACAGTGTGAGGTTCCTGTGTGTTGGTTAGGCTCTTCTATAGTGAAAGCATATCTTAGGTGCTAGTGCATTGCTCTAGCAATTCTTAGTCTTAAAATGTCTAACAGAGCCTCCTCCATAGTAAGTCCTGAAAGTGAGAGCTGTGCTACAAATTTCCTCAGTGACAACCGAAGGGAAGTTTGTTGTGCTCCATCTCAAGGTCACCCCAGGAGTGACTAGGCTCCTATCATATGGGGAAGAAGTCTCTGTAGTTGGAAACCAGATCTATTTCTTAGAGGAGCTCGGCATGAGGATGGGTGGAAAGCTTGGGAGCTGTTTGTAAGCAGGGGTGTCTAAAGCCCTGCAGGCCCCTCTTCCACCAAACCCCTTCCCTGTATAAACAACACCCAGGCTCTTTCCCATATGGAGCACAAGGGCACTGCAGGAGAAGAGACCTGCTATTCCCTCCCACTCCTGCATGTAGAGACCATGAGGGCCAGAGCTGCCAGCCCTGGGAAATTCATAGTAGCTAGGATGCCATTCATTGCAACCAGAACCTTGCCTCCAGCAAGCTGCCCTGTCTCAAAGGACAGGGTGGACAGACTTAGAGGACTAGGGAAGATGCTAGGTGCCTCCTTCCACAACCCCATCACCAGAACTGCCCCTTCACCAATGCACACCCAACGCTGACTGTGGTGCAGAAGGTGACATCAATTGTCATGACACAACAATTGGGAAATATAGTGTAGTTTATTTAGGCCCAGGCACAGGTATATTGGGGAGAGTAGGAATTTCAATCAGCAGAGGGTCTTGGTCACTGTTCATGCCTCTGGCTGTGACTTTTGTGGTCTCAGTGGTAAACTCACTGGTATCCTCTCCTGGCAAAGTAAATAGAGTGAGAGGTGGACCCTCGAGAGACCTGGGTGACTTAGGCTTCCCTTGGGCAATCTTGATGGAAATAGGGAGGGAACTGGACTGGGCTGAAAGTTGTCCGAGGCAGAAGTTGGCTCCAAGCTCGCATGAAAGGCTTGGCTACTTATGCCATCATTCTCCAGAATCGGCTCCTCCAAGACACACTCTGACAACAAGGCTCCCTAGTCTGGTCTTAGCCATTGAATGTGGCCTTCACAGTGTCACTCATGCCATCATCTTGTTCCTTGGGCTCTTTTTCAGAGACATAAACATTCTGCAAAAGAGGAACAATGACCTCATCTTTCCAGTCTCCCATGACTGGCACCCATTGCCTCATTCAGCAACCATGTGTGCACCTCCATCCCAGGTGCAGGTGCTGGTGTGCAGTTTGACTTGGGCATTCCAATTGCCTACCCCTTTGAAGGTGTTCCAGACAAGGGAGGGAAATGAGACTCACCAGGTTCATGTATTGAAAGAAGGGAGTGAAGAACATGTTTCCAAGGTATGCAATGTGTCTATGCTCAGAGGAGTGACCAACAGGGCTTCCTTGATGAAACCTGCTACGCTCCTCCCTCTGCTGGGTAGAAAGAAGCTCTGACCCACCCCTTGTTCCGCCCCCTGCTCCCTAGCCCTACCCATCTTCCTGTTCTCCTACATCTCAGTATACGCTGGACAAGCAGTGGATACATTTCTGGTATGTGAATCTTCTCCATTCCTGTGTCTTTTACTCCCACCTCTCTTGTTTTTTGTTTCTTTGCTTTTATTCTCTCTGACCAGCTGAGCACCCTTACTGCCTATTGAACTGAAGTATCCAGGCAGTCAGGCAGAAGGTGAGTTCTCAATTAGTGGACGTTCCACAAACAAGAGTGATTATGTGGCTCTCTCTGTACCCGTAATTTGACTCACAGAGTGAAGCCTTTCTGGGCCCTGAGGAAGCTTTGGGTTGGAATAGTTCATGGAAGCACTGAGGAGAGATGCATGAGTTATCCAGAGACCACACTGACCTTGATTTTCCACTGGGAGGCAGAGGTGAGAATCCCGCTCCTGTGTGTCAGGTGGTGTCTGGTAGCAGGTAGAAGGACGTTTGGAGCCTGAAGGGTTTGGGAAGTGTGAGGCACTGGAAGGAAAGGCTGGGCTTGTTTAGGCACACCTGCAGATGTGAACCCTTCTTGAGACCTAGTTGTGAGGGTGTACCATGGACTTCAAGGAAACACCCTGCTTGCAGTAAGTACCCTTTGTAGGGAGAGGGGGAGAAGGTGACCTCAGGCTTTTATTCATTTTTTAATGGTGATTTTTAGCAATTCATTGGTTATATAGCCTTGAGGACACGGGACTGGTCTTTGTTGTGAGCCTCTCCTAGACAATACCCTGTTCCAGATTCTGTTGTTGTTCCAAAAAATAACAACTTAGGAAGAACATGATATTTATGGAGCTCTAGGAGCACTGAGAGGGACAATCCTCCTGCCCAGAACTTGAAATGGAGTCAGTGAAGTTTTCCCAAGGACACATGCCTGTACTGAGTGAAGGGAAAAGTTGGCCAAGAAATGGAGGAAAGGGAGAATTCAGCTCACTGAACTTAAGATAATACTGTGAACATTTGCAACTGGCAATAGTGGGCCCAGCTTTCTGTTCTCATAGTTGGTACAAGTGAAGTTTAGTGATGAGGTTCTGACACAGGACTGGAAACGGGCTTATCTGAGATATTGAACCTGGCACTGAGAAGCAAAGCCTTTTCTCTTACAAAGTTGCATAACAGTCTGCCTATTGTTTTCTACTGTGGGTCATGCTTTTCATATCTACTACCTAAGATATTGTTGCCCATTTTCATGACACAAAATTTCTCTTGTGGTTTCCATGCATTTTAAAATTTAGTGTTTTCCTCTTCAATTTATCATTTATTTTCAGTTAATGTGTGCAAATAGTGTGAGCTACTGAGGTTTGTTTGCTGTCCTTATGGAGTTCCACTTCTCCCAGTGTCATTAGTTAGGTTAATTGTCTTAAAGCTTTTGTAGATCTGTACCTGGGCTTTTTAGCTCATCTGTTGATCCATAGTCCCTGTCCTGAGGTAAAAACACCATGTTGTTGTGATTACCACTCTTTTAAATTGTATAGGAATTTGGAAGATGCATTGCCTCCACCTTTCTTATTTTACACAGGTTTTGTCTGTGTGCTCTGCACATTACCACAGAGTTTGGGAAATAGCTTTTCCCCTCTAAAATTGTCATGGTGAATCGCATTCCAGTGGTTCATGCCTATGATCCCAGCTACTCAAGAGGCTGAGATCTGGGATGGTAATTCGAAGACAGCAGCAGGAAAATCAATGAGATTCTTATCTACAATTGACCACCAGAAAGTCCGAAGTAGAGCTGTGGCTGAACTGTAGAGCATCAGCTTTGAGCAAAAGATATCAGGCACAGCACCCAGGCCCTGAGTTCAAACCCTTAGTCCAGCACAAAAATTGGTCGTGGTGTTTTGAGACTTGAGATTCTGACATTCAATGTCATTATACCAATGTTGCCATCTATATAGGCCTTTTAGCAATATCTTATGGTTGTATTTTATTTATGTTAAAATTTGGAATGTATACTTCATTGTAAATAACATTTAAGTCAGCTTCCATCTCCAGTATGTCTTTTGACAGCTCCTGTAGGTGATTCTGAGACAAGCTAATGTTCCCAGATCATTGCTCTAATGGAATAAACCTGCAGGTTGTTTGTATTCTATTCATATATATTTGAATTAAAAACAGGACAGTTTTAAATAAAGAAAGTGCACCCCAGTTGTTTTGTAGACCTATTTTCTAGTAAAGTTTCAAGACAGGTCAGCAAAATATTTCAAAACCAATATACTTTCAGGTTGAAAAGAAAAATTCTTCTCTAAGGCAGACTAGAAGACTAAAAGTAGAACCAGATAAGAGACTATGGAACCAGATAAGAACAGCACAAGAAAATGAAACATGGTATTAATGTCCTTCCTCAATGAAAGAAAAAATAATCCCAAGCAAAATATTATCAGAAGGGAGTTCACAGCATATATAGAAGATAGTCTTCCACAACTATGTTAACTTTATCCTAGGAGAACAAATGTGGCTTAACCTTAGAAAAGTAGAAATAGAGGAGGCATGAAAAAAGTATGTGGTAATATTATTTCAATTTCTTTCTTTATATACTATGGATTGTATAATTGTTGGAAAACTCACTATGATGTACCTTTGTGTCTTTTCTCCTTTTATTCCCACAAGAACAGCAGATATAATAAATTCCAAAAATTTGGAAAGACGAAATGAAACTCAGAACATCAAGACTAAAACACATAAAGCAAAGAAAAATGATCCCAAAGAGACAAAAAAGTTCCCCAAATGAAAGATGACAACAGGGCTCTATGATTCAATACTAGATTCACCCATGCCACTGTGCTCCTTTCACACAAGGAAGGAAAAAAGGCTGGTATTGGTCATCTTTGGTGCTAGAAACCAGTGGGTTGGTTCAGAAACAGCTCTGCATTTTAGTTATAAGATGAATTTACTTAAAGATTTTGGAAAGATCTTTAAATTTCACTCATTGTATTCACAGGTCAAATAATGACTAGTGCAATGAACATTTACATACAGGAAAATCTATTTGTGACTTTAAGATGAATATTTGAAATGCGACAGGATGGGAGCAAGTAATGGAGAAAGGCATTAGATCTTGCCTTAAAAAAAGAGCGACTGATTGCCACCTGCTGCTAGTTATGTCACTGCAGGCTGACATGGGACTATAACTCATTCTCCATTCTTTCCCTTTGTCTTGTTCTACATCCCCAAAATTCCATCCTTTAGTCTCTACTACAGTGGAAAGCCTCATAGGCTACAGGATCCCACCCCCTCCTGCTATTTGAGCTCCTTTAGGAAAGATCCTTAAACTCTGTTCCCTGGGCCAGGACACATGCTAGTGTGTCTCTAAAGTGGAGAATAGAATGATTGAACTTCCTTAGGACACAGTGCAGTCTGTGGATCCAAGATTGGACACTTGAGGCCAGGAAGTGGTAAGGATAAGAGTAAAAAGACTGACCATCACCATCCTTGAAGTGTGGAGAGTAGTATGGGAGATGATTGGGAGGCTGAGGATGGAATGCATCGTTTGTATGAATGCAGGAAGGATGTGTACGTCCAAGAGAAAAATTAGTGCACTTAGGGTGGCCTATTGTTTAAATCAGGACCTAGCATTCTGTCAACAGAGAAATGTGGGAATGAATGAAGGAGTGAATGAAAAAAAGTAGCTGGTAGAAAATGGCATGCATAGAGTGAAGTTGAGCAAAGAGCTCATGATCAGACTGAAAGTATAGGGAATCGTGCCAAGAGGCTGTACAGGAGAGGTGATATGTGAGTGTGGCTTCCTATGAAAGATGTTACCTAAGAAAAATGGTCAAGATGACAGTCAGACATAGCTATAAGGAGAAAAAGGAATAAAACTGCAGGATGCAGAACACATAGGCACTTCAGCTAAGTAAAATGAGAATAGTGGGTTATGTGGCCATTCTGCTTTCTGCTCAAGACCTTAGGACCATAGAATCAAATGACATATGTGCTGTGTTCTGCTGCATGTCTGAATTCAAATGTATTTCAGTAAGTAAGACTGGAGCCTTATGCAGTATTAAACTGGGCCTAAGAGAACTGTTGTGGTCTGTTTTGTCTACCACAACCACAACATCTCCCCCTAAATCAAGGGCAAAAAGTCCATCTGCATCTTCTGAGCTTGCAAATATCACAACTGTGCCATCTCCTTGTAAGTCTGGCAAGAGGAAGAGTCAGAGCTTCTTTACATGCAACTAACCTTTGCATTCAATCCCCCTTTTAGGGAACAGCATACTGCCTTGTCTACTCTAAGCATCTGACTTCAAAACTGACAAAGAATATGGGAGAACCCAGCCAATCTCGCATGCCCAACCGAAGGAGTCTGATCATAGAAGCAGAAGAAGGAGTTCTGAGTGAGTGTCTATAGCTAGGGAAGGAGCCTAAATTTGATAGGGAGAACCATGAATAGTTATTTCACCAGTCTTACCAGTGAGTTACAGTGTTGCCTTTTGGCTAGTACTACTCAGGCTTCAGCCAGTCTGTATAGAAAACATCATACCAATAGCCAGGCATCGTTACTCAGGATGCTGATCTCTGGGATGGGAGTTCAAAGCCAGCCAGGGAAGAAAAGTCCATGAGACTCCAAATTAACTACAAAAGAGCCAGAATTGAAGCTGTGGCTCTAGTGGTAGAATGCTAGTCTTGAGCACAAAAGTTTAGGGACAGTACCCAGGCCTTGCATTCAAGCCCCAAGACTGGCACATACACAAACATACACACACACAAATCCATTATATCAATATAGGTACTTTCCCTCTGGAAAGTAAGAATGGAGATGGGCTGGGCGTTAGTGGCTCACACATATTCCTACCTACTCAGTGGGCTGAGATTTAAGGATCTCTGTTCAAAGCCAGCTCAGGAAAGAAAGCCCATGAGACTCTTATTTCCAATTAACTACCAAAAAAATGGAAGTGGTGCTGTGCCTCAAAGCTAGCCTTGAGTAAAAAAGCTTGGGGACAGCGTCCAGGTCCTGAGTTCAAGGCCCACACTGACAAAAAAAAGAATGGACAAGGAATATAATGGAGTGAGTAAAAAGGTTCATCTAAGCTATTCCTGGTCTTTAACAGCTGGCGATGATAACGCCATGGATCAGCCTTGGATCTACCCCAGCATAACTATGCAGGAGGTAAGGAAAGTGAGCTGTCAGTGGAACAAGCTGCTCCTACCCAGCCCCTTCTCTGACCTCCCCTACTGAGTCCCAATAGCACAGGCCCCATCTCCAACACCACACACTGCTTACTATCTGTTGTGGTGCAAAATCACCACTCCCTGTGACTCGGTATCCCAGTTGTAACCTGAAATGTAAGACAAGATGGTCTTTCAGAACTCTGATATTCTGAGTTCCTGTCCTCATTCCAAAACACCAGTCCAGCTTCGTTCCCTGGCCAATTTGAAATCATCTGATTGCCATCTGTGATCACTGCCCTTTCAGGAGAGCTCCCATATGCCTCTGCTGCTGAGCTTGCCATCATCACCTTCATCTCTTGTTTATACTCCTGTGACCTTGGAGCAGCCATTAAATGTTTCTTTTGTTGGGGAGCCCCAGGGGACCCCTGTCCTGCCCATCATGTAAGTAGAACAACGATCACACAAGCAGTTGCTCTTTGTGCTATAGTGCGTCCAACGGTGAACTTGTTTCTCTATAAGATGAGGGGAGGAGGAAGAAGGCAGCAACTGAGTATCATCCTAGAACAGGAATTCTGGCTTTGACATTACTTATTGGTGAGACTTTGGACAAGTGGTTCTTTGTTTTCTAATTCTCCTATGCTCAGAGGGCATATGGGGGAAATACTCCATAAATCATAATATTCATACTATTCTATAAACACTGAGAAGAGGACTAGCTTAAGGCCTGACACCTAGATGTTTAACCTGTGGAGATGAGACTGTTATTACACTTTGAAACAGCTGAAAAGAGGGGCTATGATTGGAGAGAGATACAGAAATCCAGAAGAAAATCCAAAGAGCAGTAGAAACTGCTTCCTGGAGAGGAACCAAGCTTGTTCTTGGAGACTCTTAGTGATTGGGTGATAGAGGAACAAGATCCCATCACTAGAATCAAACAGTATTTCCAGGCATTTTTCACATTAAAACTCAGTCATCGTAGTTCCCCATCATCTTCACTCTAGCCCTGGCAGGCAAAACTTGGTAGAAATTGGTGACTCGGGAAAGATGCAGAGAAAACAGCAATGGAAAACAGGCTAAGCTGGAGAAAGAACTTACCCTATCCATTATAATTAATGACCCAGCAGTCATTCAGATTACCACCTGTACCCATGTGTACCCTGGTTGTATGTATTCACCAGAGGATTTAATCTGCCTCTCCTCACATTGTTTCCAGATGCTCAGGTCTGGTCCTTCAACCCTGTGCCACACCTGGCACATTACTGTTGCAGCCTCAGGTACTGGGAAAGGGATGTGGTGGAGGATACTTGGAGGGGAAGAGCTTAATGGAGTAGAAGAGCAGAAGGACTCTGGGATTGGGGGAGGAGACACAGAACTTGTCTGAATGGGAGGGCATGTGCTTTGTCAGACTCCATTCTCTCATAGCCTTTACTTTTCAGGCCACCAATGACTCAGACCAGGATTCAATGTCTGCTGCTTTGGAGTGGCAGCAGAAGATGCAAGCTGCTGAGGCTCTACTGGCTCTGAAAAACTCTTCTCAGGTTCCTCCTGAACCCAATTCTGCACATGAGTCTCTAAGTGCTCCAGGTATCTTGCTCCTTACAGCATTACTACAAAGAAGGGGTAGCTGAGAAATAGGGTGAGAGTTGTGATAAGCAGATTCTAGCTGGAAAAAACAACAACAGTGTTAGTAGGTTGAAAGATCTTGAAGCCTGGGCCCCATGAGTGTGACTCATGAACTTGAGAGTTGTTCCGTGACTGTCCAATTTATTGATTTTTGTGCCCAATAATCAATAGCAAGTCATGCCCAATAATCAATAGCAAGTCACTTGATGACAAGGAATAATGAAACTGAGGCCATGCAGTGTAATGGATCTTAGGACATGCAAAGAACAAAGTCACCTGACTCTCAGGCAGCACTTGATCTGCAGTATACTATGAATGTATAGAAGTAAATGAACATATAGAAGCATACAAGAACATATAGAAGTGATAAAGGCAAGGGGATTAGAACTGGATGTATTCCTAAGCAGTGTTTCACAGCAAATTTCACTGGTGGGCTCAGAGAGGAAGGGCTCAGGATGCTGGAAGTAGTGAACACCTAGGAAAGCTAAGGCCAGAGACTGGGCATTATTTCACTAAAGTAGTGAATGGAGGCTGACTATGAGAGTGAAGAAACCACACCAGGAAATTGCTAAAAAGGTGGCTGAAGCTAGAGACCTTGCTGATCATGGTGGTCTAGGAGAGTGACTATAGGAGGTTAGCCCAGCCACTGTGGGAAGGGAGGATCAAAACATGTTTCTGATATAAGAAGGCGCATATACAGGGATCAGATTTAAACAAAGAGATGCAGTGGCTGGGATAGAGAGATAGAAGGAACTAAGACTGGCCAAGAGGAAATCAGATAGTAATAGGTCTGTGCGGTGATTTCAGTGGCAAATATCTGAGTGTGTGGAACTGAAAAAAAAGAGGAGAAAGCTAAGAGGGGTCATGATGTTAACTGCCCCCCTTACTTTCTATTCTGCAGGTCCTGCTGGAGATACAGAAATGGAGCCTTCCAGCCCCAGGCTGCAATCTAACTCACCCAACTCCGTTTCACTGCCTAATGGACAACAGGGCTACATTGTCTTCTTTGACTAAGAGCCCAGAGGAGACCTCACTAGACCACTGTCTAATTCACTATCTTGTTTCTGAATGTGCTTTATAGCCAAAATGCTTAACCTGATTTTTGAAACATTCAAGTGCTTAATAAGCTTTCAGACTATATATTATGATATAGGGCAACTCCTTGACTGAGGTAAGATATTCTTGTACCTCTACCCATTGCTTATTTGGAAACTGAAGCCTTTTATATATCTTATACAAACAGCACTGTACATTCCAATGTGGTCAATCCTCAGCAGGATTCTCAGTGGAGGTAATAAGTCATGCTTACATTTGTCTTGTCATTACACCCATACCTGTATACTCCTGAACTTCTCCATGCATGTAGAAACATGTGTCTCCATGTGTATGTATGTGTGTATGTGAATAAACAATAAACTAGTTTTTGTAAGGCACTGAGAAATACATATTGCTTGTTTCTACCATGTAACTTTCACGATCCTGACTCTAATAAGACTGTCACATTCCAAAGTGAGAGTCACCTCATTTAAAAGTTGTAATTTAACATAGCTAGCTAGATAAGGCAAGTTTAGAAGTATAAAAGAGTAGTACATTTACTTATTTAGCAATGAAGACCTTGCCATCTGCCTAGTATAAATTGTTTCCTGCTGTCCAGAGGACCTCAATTGGAATCCTATGATCAAGAAGATCAGGAAAACAGAGAAGGCCAGATGGGCCCTGGCCTATTACAATGCATGCTCTAAGGACCCAGCTGCTGCTTAGCTCTAGCCATTTGCTACCATGGAACAAGTAGGGCACATCATTGCCAAGATGACCGCTTTTTCAAGAGTTGATGGAATTCTAGGTTTTTAAGTGAAGTCACTCATTTTGTAAAAGATGACTCCGTTTCCTTCAAGTCCTATATATGAAACAAACCAAACACTATGGCAGTACAACTTTGACTGATGAAAAGCCAATGAAGTTCTAATACAGTGTGATTTACACTGGGTAAAACATAGACGAATCAGGACAGGAAGGATCAAAAAGGAGAAATGAGTTAGAGCCAAGTCCTATGTATGAAGCACTCCTGAAATATGAAGAATACTCATTGCACAGGTCTATTCCATGCTCATATAATGAGCATGCAGACCACTCACAAAATCACAACAGCCCTGCAATTTTTGTCATTGTACTTACAAGAAAACATGCCCAGAGCGGGAAAGAGACTTGTAGAAGCACTTTCAGGGAAAATTTTAGGAACACTCAGAAGATTACCTTGATTTGCCAGTCTCTATATCAGCTATTCTGTTGCTGGTTTTTTTTAATACAAATTATCCAAAGAAAGGCTTAAAATACAAAGCAAGAGACATCATTCAGAAGGCTTTTACAAAACATCCAGTCCTTTTATTTCCAGTCCAGTTAATCATGGTAATTACTCAGATCTTTCTTGTGTGGATGTGTTACATGGTTACTGATGGTGTTGTGAACAAATAAAGAACAATAGTGTCATACCAGGCATACAGAATGCTGAACTGTAAGTGCCGTACATAGATTCTTTCCTAGGCTGTTACCTCCTTTCTTTCTTCTCTGCTTCTGTGTTTTTTAAAAAAATGTGTGCCAGTCCTGGAGCTTAAATTCAGGGCCAGGCACTATCCCTGAGCTTTTTTGCTCAAGATTAATGCTTGAGCTACAGCTCCCCTTCTCACTTTTTTGGAAGCTCATTGAAAACAAGAGTCTCATGGACTTTCCTGCCCAGGATGGCTTCAAACCATGATCCTTAGACCTCAGCCTTCTGAATAGGTAGTATTACAGGTGTTAGCCACCAGTGCCTGGCTCTGTCTCTGTTTTTAACAGCTCATGATTGATAGTAATGATTTCCAATTATTATAATTTCTTTTTTTTCCAAGGCATTGAGAAGTCAAGATTTTTATATACTCTACTTGATGGAAGAGAAACAAACATACAAAATCAATCTGGACTTGGACCAAGAATAAAATCCATCCCATATGTCTTCTTCTTTCCTGAGCTTCTTGTTACATGGATGAAAGGTCCCAAAACCCCTATTCCAGTGGCAGATGAAACTGTACTCATATTCTCTTGACAAGGAAGTATCAGTATGTGTAGAAAGACAAAAGGCTTGGTATGCAAGTGTTTATTCCCCACACAATGATCCCACATTTGAACTTGAGTAGAAGACACATTTTGACTAATGGATGTGTTCAGAGAAGAAGAAGAAAACCATAAATATGACCATGGATTTGAGGAAAGAGAGAGACCCCATTTACAGTGCTCTATTATTTTTTTGAGGCCCACTGACATAAAAGGTTTCAGACCTGACAGTAGTCTTCCCATACACAGAATTCAGAATTTTTTTTTGTTGGTCCTGGGGCTTGAATTGAGGGCCTGGACTCTTTGTGCTCAAGGGTAGCACTCTACTACTTGAGCCAGAGTACCACTTAGGGCTTTTTCTGAGTAGTTCATTGGAGATAAGAGTCTCACAGAATTTCTTGCCTGGGCTGGCTTTGAACTGTAATCCTCAGATCGCAGCCTCCAGAGTAGCTAGGATTACAGGCGTGAGCCATCAGTGCTTGGCTGAGTTTAGAAACTTTTATTTAAAAATTCATGTTTGCCACACATTCACACTTGTAATCCTTGTTACTCAGGAAACTGAGACCTTAGGATCACAGTTTGATATCAGCTCAGGTAAGAAAATCTACGACACTCTTATCGCCAATAAACTCATAAAAGCTGTAAGTGGAACTGTGGCTTAAGTAGTAGAGTGCTAGCCTTGAGTAAAAGAACTTCAGGGACAGTGCCCAGGCCCTGAGTTCAAGCGCACACAAAAAATTATTACAGTTATATTTGATTCATCATAGGACCTTAAATAAAGTTCAACATCAAACTTTTTGGCTTTCTCGTTTGGTAATGTTATACTTCACAGGCTTAAAAGAAATCCATAAAGACCACGTACAATATATCTTACTTCTTTATATGGTAAGCAACAGCACTGATTAGATCTGAACATATCCACAATACCAGAGTACCACCTTGTGGATTAATGCCATGAGTAGTGTACAGATAAAGTGTTAACACAGTCATAGGGCAAGGGGAAGATAGAGAATTCTCTGGGCTTCTCATTTAGAGATTTCAAGATACTAAAGTTCTGTCAATGAATAGTGAGTTAGCAAAACATGTATTTCCATCATTCCAATATAAGAACTGTGATTAACCAAAACAAAGATAATAGAAACAGGAAAATAATTAGGATTCTATAAACTCTGAACACATACCGACTGTGCTTCCAATATGGTGTGCACAACAGTTTATATAAGGTGTGTGTGTGTGTGTGTGTGTGTGTGTGTGTGTGCGCCCCAGTACAGGAGTACTGTACTTGAACTCAGGGCTTCATGCTCTCACTCAGCTTTTCCTTTAATGGTTGTTGCTCTACCATTTGAACCACACCTACCTCCAGTTCCAGCTTTTCCTGGTTAATTGAAGATAAGAATCTGTGGATTTGTATGCCCAGGGTTGGTTCCAAACTGCAATTGTCAAATCTCAGCCTCCTAAATAGACAGAATTATAGGCATGAGTTACTGGTGCCTGGCTTAGTTTATATAGTTTGGCTTTTAATAACAGCTATACAGCTATTGTTAGCCTGGAAGCCTCTTCCCCCATAATTTAACATGCTCTTTCCCTAGGCAAAACTAGGCCTATGTAGTAAAGGCAGCAAATGATTAGCACCTACCCCTTTCCCTGAGAGATCACCCCTTTGGGATAGCTGTGACCATACAAGGCAGCAAGATCCCCCAAATCCTGGAGGTTATAAAAGGTCACCTGAGACAATAGCCTGTACTTCTTCTCACCTGGTGAGAAGGGGTCTTGCTGGTCCCATCACTGGTAATAAACCTTTCCTTTGTTCTTCATACCTGGAACTAGGTTTATCTCAGTGAATTTGCTCATCTAAGCTGTTCAGGAGCCTAGTTCTCAATCGCCTCTGTGCTAGTCACCCTCTCATCCTGAGAGTTGCGACCCCAGGGGCCCAGACTTCTGCCAGATCGACACAGCCACCAAGCAGCCTCCCTCCTGCCATCCAGCACTCTCCCACATCCAATTCACTGGCCTTCATTCATCTGCATGGATAACTGGACTTGGGATTCCTATGGTGACATTCTTTTCTTTTGTTCAGACTCCTCGTGCCAACTTTTATTTAATCCACACTCAAAAGCCTTGGTACTGGGCTGCTGCAAGTCTCCAGCTGAAGGCTTAGGGTCTGAGGCACGGGCCTAGAACCCACACCTGAGGCTCCAGGACACAAGGGTTAGGTGATGACCTACCACTCTCTCCTGCCACACTCTCCCTAAGACCAAAACATTCCAGGGACATCAGGATTGTATTGGCCTTAAAGTCACAATGAGTAATTCTCAGTCTAAGATCCCATCTGACTCCCCCCTGGGGTTCATAGTGGCCAATACACTTTCTGTCCACTTACTTCCTGGCCTTAAGCATTGGCACCTGATTGATCTATACAACCGAGCATGGCCTGATTATGACCTAGGGAGCTAATACAAATGGCCACTTAATGGCACCTTTAACCCCATCATTTTTTGGGATTTATACAATTCTTGCAAGTGCTCAGAAAATGAGGCACATCTAAGACTTCTCATTTTTTCACTATCTCTAACTACCTCCAGACTAAAAATCATCTCCCTCCAAACTAAAAATCATTTAAATTCTCCATCTCAAGGCAAAACTGTCTTCAAACTCTCTCCTGCCTTCACTGCTGTTCCTATTGCCACTGCGGCCAATGCCCCTGACTTTTCATACCCTCCCCCTTCCAGCTTCTCTGGGTCCCAGCTTCCTCCTCCCATTCCAGCCCCCTCAGCCCCTCCTCCCATCCAGCTCTAGCTCCTGCCCCTCTTCAGCAGCTCCTCCTATGGCGGCTCCCTTGGGCAGTCACTGTACCAGCCCCTTCTCCCACTTCTCTCCCTCCCATCTTCTCAGCAGTTCTTCTTTACTCCTCCCCATCAAGCTCTCAA